TTTTTAAAGCCTACTAAAAACCAGTTTTGGCTTTTTTGGTATTCTTTATTGTGTTTTGTTCTGGAGTACATTAATTTTGGCATCCATTTTACTTCATTCTTCAATTTTCTTTTAATTTGATATTATTTATATAACCTTTTGAAATGTGATAGTAATTAATTTTTAGCCTTTACTGTTTTTTGGAGTATGAAGTTTTTTTTCCAGTTTTTCAAAATTGTGGTAAAATATCCATAAGAAAGGAAAGGAAGGGAATTCTGATGTATGCTATGACATGGACGAACCATGAGGACAGTATGCTATGTGAAACAAGCTGGTTAGAAAAAGGCAAATAATGAGGTACTCAGTGTAGTCCAACTCTTCAAAAGAGAAGTTATATTTGGAGTTATCAGTGTTTGGGAGGAGGGAAGAAAGGGGAGTTTTTGCTTAGTGTGTATATAGTTTGAATTTTCTAAGGTGAGTAGAGGTATGGAGATGGATAGTGGCGATGGTTGCACCTCATGATGAATGTATTTAATACATTCGAAATGTACATTTGAAAATGGTAAGGTGGTAAGTTTCATGTTATGTATATTTTACCCCAGTAAAATCAATTGGAAAGAAAGCATATAATGTGATACCACTTGTGTAAAGTTTAAAACACACAAAAATTTGTGCTATGTATTATTTGAGGTTTAAGTGTATGTAGTAAAAGTATAAAATAATACAGAGAAAACAACAATGCTAAATTGTAGATAAGGACACATCCAGAGATGGGAAAAATGACTAGAAAGTTTCCAAAAGAAACTTCCAGTGTATTTGAAATATTTAATTTCTTAAGTTGAGTATGGTTACATTATTTATTTCCCAGTATTCATATCATCAGAATATGAATATTTTCTTTTTGTTTTTTATTAAAATATAGACTTATTTTGCTTGACATAATCCAGGTCCATGCGTATTGTTCAAATGACAAGATTTATTTCTTTTTTATAACTGATTAATATTCCATTGTATATATTATACCACATCTACTTTATCCCTTCACCTATTGAACACAGATTTTTTTGCATATATTGACTATATCTGAAAACTATAAGACACTGGTGAAAGAAATAGAAAATGATAATCATGGCAGTAAAGTTGATGCTCATGCATAGGAAGAATTAATGTTGTTAAAATAGTCATAGTTCTCAAAGCCACCTATAGTGTCAGTGCAATTCCTATCAAAATACCAATGACATTTTTCATAGAACTAGAGAAAGTAATCCTACAATTTGTACAGAAGCATAAAAAAATTAACTAGCTAAAGCAATTTTGGAAAAGAAGAATAAAGCTGAAAATATCACACTCCCTGATTTCAAACTATAGTAAGAAGCTATAGTAATCCAAATGGTATGGTTCTAGCAAAAAAAAAAAAAAAGACACATAGAGGAATGGAACAGAATAGAAAGCCCTAAAGTAAACCTATGTTTACATTGTCCATTAATATATGACAAAGGAAGCAAGAATGTGTAAAGGGGGAAAGATAGTCTCTTCAAAAAATGGTATTAGGAAAACTGGGCAGCTACATGGAAAAGAATGAAACTAGACCACTGTCTTATACCATACACAAAATGAACTAGAGATGGATTAAAGGTCTTAATATAAGGCCTAAAACCATTAACTTCCTATAGGAAAATATGGGCAGATACATTTGCATATGTATATATAAATACATGACCCTTTTCTGAAGGAATTTGCTAGAAATAGTAATAATGTTTGCTTAAAGGAAAAAACATAAATGATTATGTAAAGGGGGAAAACTTATTTTTAATCTCATGTGTCTCTTTGTGCTTTAAAAATTTCACACTATGTGTACATTTTAACAATTTTGAGAAAGTAGTTAAAGAAAATAATTGACCTAACAAGGCCAAAAAAAGAAAATGCAGCGAGTAAACTCTTGAACATTGGCATTAGCATTTTTTGTCTGGATCTGTTTCTCCAGGCAAGGTGAAAATAAGCAAAAGTAAATGACTGTTTTACATTATTTTTATACTTTTTTTGTCCTAAATATTTTATAATAGCAGTTCAAAATGTCACACAATTCCAGCCTGTAAAATGTCCTTAGGCTCCTCAGGAAACTATAATGAGTGAGTTGCACCCCACTCATATTCACATATAGGCATCCAAACTCCCTGTACCTCAGAATGGGACTTCACTTCGTATACAAGATACTTAAAGGGGTAAGAAGTTAAAAAGAGGTACTTAGGCTGGGCCGTAACTCAGTATGACTACGTCCTTGTAAGAAGAGGAGGTTAGGACCCAAATGTGCACAGAGGGAACGCCATGTGAGGACCCAGGAGAAGATGGCCATCTCCCAGCAAAAGAGGGAGGCCTCTGAGGAAACCAGCCCTGTCAGCACCTTGAATTTGGACTTTCAGCATCTCGAACTGTGCGAACACATATTTCTGTTATGCCACATTTAAAAATGTATTCTGCATATTTGGGGTGTATATTGCTACATATATCTATTATCTGTCTTGTTCATTTTATTGATCAAATATTAATTTCATTCATTAATTTCTTTTTTCTACTTGGTTTTTTAATTGCTGGGAGAAAGACATTAAATATTTTTTAATCTTTTTGAATCGGGCTCTTTTACCCTATAGATATATACACCTTAAGTGTGTATATATCTATGTGGAGGAAAAGATGTATATTATATATTTCATATGATTTATTTGGTCTGGTGCTTGTTCCTGGCAGAGAACTCCCAACTCATGGAATTTGCTGATTGACAGGAGTGTCTTTTATTACCTTGAGGTTATACTAAGTATCTTAGGATGGGAATCCAAGGGAGCCTGAATGGGGTGGTCATCAGGAAGACCCAATGATTAGGAGATGGGGACTTTCAGCACACACACTGCTCTCTGTTTCTGAGTGGTATCCTTTATAATAAATTAGTAAAAGTAAGTATAGTAAGTATAGCACTTACATGTTACTATGGGCAATATTCAGAAAAACAAACATCAAAACAATAATGTTTATTTTTAGATATTACAATCTCCATGGTTTTTTTTTTCAGTTTTCATATCTACATTGAATTTATATATATTAAATATATTTGTGAATGCAATTTTAGGTAAGAAAGCTATCTTCTTACTCATCGCATAATCTGTGTGCGGACAAAGATATATGGACAGGTCTCTGAATTGCCGCTGGAGTCACGCTTTTACAGGGAGACTCCGTTGCTGTTATTGCTTCTTTGCCTCAAAGGACATTATATCCGTGGGTGTTTGGCTTAGAACTGTTTCTGGCACAATAAATACAACTTGAAATTCATCAGAGACTTTGAGCTCCTCCAAGGATTCTTTTTTTCAGTTGTTCCCTTCACACCTGTTGCAGATGGACAAAACAAGTAGAGTCATAGGTGTAAAAACCTGTCTAGAAAAATCAGAACATGCTATTTCTCTGAGTGGCTTAAGTCCTCCTTGCTCTTTGAACATTACCATCTTCTTATTAGCTACTCAGAGTATTCAGAAGTGTTCTTTTTAAGTTAGGATGGTATCTTTTATAAATTCATAAAGCATGTATGAATATACAGAATGAGAATATTTGGGAGCAAGTGTCCAGGAAGGCAATTACATAACCCTACTAGGATATTTTTGCTAAACTGTGAAACTCACCTAGATCATTTGAGGGATAGATTACTGGCTAAACAATTAAGAATGTCAAAGGTAAGTCATGGGATACTTTCAAGCCCACCATTTAGAAACTGTGTGTAGCACTCATTTAGCACATCATTATGCTGTTGCAGTATCATATACAATGATCTCAATGACACATGGAAAATGCTTTTTAATCTCTCTTCTCTTTCTCTCCTTTTCTCTTTCTGTGTCTGTACCAATCAGGATCATCTATATATCTATATCTCCTATATGTGCATTATCATTGCGAACATTCTTTTTTAAAATATTTTCCCTCTTTCAGTACCAGTATCATCAGTGAGCAAATTCAGCATCATAAACCCAGGAAAATGTCCCATTTTCTAACATAATATCATATCCTGTCAATGTTGCTGGTAAATCTGTACTTAGTAGGAATTGATATGGCTCATTTAAACCTCATAGTAACTCCATGAGGTAGTATTCCTCTTAACTCTACTCTACATATTAGGAAGCTGAGAGCATACATGGACTAAATGATTTGCCCAAGGTCACTCAGTTAGTAGATGACAGAGATGTGACGAGCCTAGACAAATGGTTCGAAGATCCATACACTGAAATATGTGTCACCCTTCATGTCATGAAGGAGGGAGAGCAAAACATGTTTTGATATCTTACATCTGTTTACACTTTTACCCATGTTTTTTCAAGTTATATTAAAACAGTTATGCATCAAAACATTCTCTGCTGAAGAAAGAAAGTAAATGAATAATAGAGAAATTTACAGGAGTAAAGAGAAAGAGCTGTAGACAAGTACCTGGGAGAAATCTGACTTGACTTCACAAAATGCCTAGATCGTTAGAGGAGGGATCTGGAGAATTTAGGTAAGGGTCATTACCATCTCCTTTATATATCCATTTCAGGCACCACAACTTAAACCCAAGGATTTATAATATTTAGCTTTTGAGTATTAAATTTTGGAACAAAAATACTGTATATACCATGAAAATATAGCTTAAAAGCTGTCCATTCCTGATCCTAAGTGGAAATCTCTACCAAAACATGGACTTAAAATATTAATTGGAAATAAAGCTGTGTATTGGGATATTTTTGAATATTTAAAACAATGTCAGTAGTAGTAATTTTAAGAAGAAACTTTCTATGTGCTTTGCTTTCATGTGGAACATGTCAGTCGCGGGAATGTTGAGGGAGTTGAAGGAATTATCTCATCAAAACACTATTATCAAATAACAGAAGGAAATGCATGTGACTGGGTTTGCTTGGTATTGATACACACTGTGTCAGTTGACCCTATTTGACATTGTTCCTCAGATTCAATTTCTGTGACTTTTATGTGAAGATTGGCAGAAGTCAGTGATGAGAAACCATTCAGCAGTAACAATGTTCTTCATCCTGGGACTGACAAGTGACCCACAGCTAGAGATTCTGGTTTTTACCTTTTTGTTTATCACATATACATTTAGTGTACTTGGAAATCTGACCATAATTTCTCTCATCTTCATCGATTCTCACTTAAAAACAGCAATGTATTTTTTACTTCAAAATTTTTCTTTCTTAGAAATCTCACTCACAACTGCCTGTGTCCCCGCTTACCTGTACATCATAGCAAGTGGGAACAAAGTCATTACCATCAAAGCCTGTTTCATTCAAGTATTTTTTGTCATCCTCTTTGGAGCAACAGAGTTTTTTCTGTTGGCTGTGATGTCCTATGACCGCTGTGTGGCCATCTGCAAACCCCTGCATTACGTGACCATCATGAACAGCAGAGTCTGCAGGAACCTCATCCTCTGTTGTTGGGCATCTGGCTTACTGATCATCCTTCCACCCCTTGGTCTGAGCCTTAATCTGGAATTCTGTGACTCTGTTATTGACCATTTTGTCTGTGACGCTTCTCCAATACTGAAGAATTCATGTACAGATACGTGGTTCATAGAGCAGCTGGCCATACTCTGTGCTGTGTTTACCCTCATTGTGACACTTATGTGTGTAGTTCTGTCCTACATGTATATCATTAGGACGGTTCTAAGATTATCCTCCTCCCAGCAGAGGAAAAAAGCCTTTTCCACCTGTTCTTCCCACATGAGCGTGGTTTCCATCAGCTATGGCAGCTGCCTTTTTATGTATATCAACCCTTCAGCTAAGAATGTGGTATCCATTAATAAGGCTGTTTTTTTGCTTATTGTGTCTGTTGCCCCTGTGTTGAACCCCTTCATTTATACCCTGAGAAATAAACAAGTAAAGCAGTCTTTCCAGGACATCCTCAAAAGACTTGTATTCCTTTCAAAGAAATATTAGATTTTCATATCATAAATTACATTAAAATAAAAACATTATATCCATTGGAAGGAAATTGAATAATGGGACATCCAGTCTCTTACTGTTGAGGAGCAATGAAGAGAATGAGAAGAGATCCTAAGAAAGCAGTGGGAGCCAGCGAGCATTCTACAGATGGGTATTTCCCTTCTTCACTGCAACTTCTATGTTTCCTCGACTACATTTCAATCAAGTCTGTTTAGTCTTGTCAAATGTACATTATTCTTCAGTCTCATTTGTCCCTATCACTGTTCTTACCTCCTTGCAACACCACCTCCTACTTTTTTTAAAAGATGATATTGCTCTACCATCCTATATTAATTTCATGTGCATGACTATATATTTAACACTTATGTACATTATGTAATTCTCATCACAATAAATGTAGGTATAATCTCTCATCGTACAAAGTCATTACAATATTATTGAATATGTTTTCTATGCTTTATTTGTCATCCCTTTGACTTAGTTATTTTGTAATTGGTAGTGAGTGGTTCTTGATCCCAATACCTATTTCACCTGTGTCTCTAGCCTTCCTTTACGACAACCAATTATCTCTTGTCTACATTTTTAAGTGTATTCGTTACTTTGAGTGTTCAGTTTTTTATTTTCAAGGTTCCACATATAACCTAAATCTATGATATTTGTTTCTTCTACCTTATTTTAACTTAGTACCCTCTAAGTATATCCATATTGTAACAAATGGTAAAATTTTAATAGGTTTATGGCTGAATAATATTCCATTGTATATGTGAACCAAATTTTCTTTTTCCATTCATCGAGAGATGGACGCTGAGGTTGCTTCTTTTTCTTGACTGTTATGAACAATTCCATAATTAGCACAGGGTGCATATATCTTTGTGAATTAGTAGTCTCCTGTTCTTCAGTAAATACCTTTAATTGGAATTAATGGGTTGTATGGTATTTCAGGTTTTAGTTTTTGAACTACTTCTGTACTGTTTTTTGTACATTGCCACCAATAGGACACAAGGGTTTCCTTTCCTTTACACCCTCACCAACATTTGTTATTTCTCATGTTTTTGATAACAGCCCTTTTAATACGTGTGAGGTAATACCTCAGTGAGGTTTTGATTTTTATTTCCCTGAAGATTAGGATTGGTGAGCATCTTTTGATATGTCTGCTGGCCATCTATAACTTTTCTTTTTGGAAAATTTCTATTTAGGTCCTCTGTATATTTGTCAAGCAGCTTATTTGCTTTTTGAGGGTTGACTTGAATGAGTTCATGGTATATTTTGGATATTAAACCTTATCAGAATTATTACTTAAAAATACATTGCAAACAGTAGGTTGCCTTTTCATTCTGTTGATGGCTTTCTTTGCTATAAAGAAGTTCTTGAGTTTGACATAGTCACATTTGTTATTTTTTGCTTTTTACCCCTTGCCTTAGGAGACATGTAGAAAAAATTAACTATTGCTTATGTTCAAGGTTTTACACCTATGTCTTTTTTTGGTATTTTTTGTGATTTCATGTTTCATATTTAGTTCCTTAATCCATCTCAAATTTATGTTTGTGTATAGTGTAAGATAGCAGTCCACTTTTATTCATTTCCATGTAGCTCTCGAGGTTTCCCAACACCATTTTGGAAGAGACAGTTATTTCTACTTATAACACAACCTCTTTTTTAAGTGCCTTCTCTTTACAAGAGGATAAGAATATTGACTTTTTTAGGTAATATAAGTTGAACTAAAAAAATTCAACCTTCTTCATGCTGCATCACAATAAATATGAAGCTTTGAACAAAATTATTATATAATAATATTCATTACCTCCTATAATATGAATGTATTAAAATATACAAAATAAATCATCAACCTAAAGTAAAATATATCTAAATAGTCTGATGATTATCATTTGACTTCCTCTGTGACTAACTGTACCAGAAACAACAAGTTACTGACATAAAGACCTTAGGTTGTGGCGGAAACAAGGAGGATGAGAAAAGTTGAGATTCTGGAGAGGGTAGCACCGGGTAAAAAGATGAGTCATCTGGACATAGATGCTTCAGCCTGTGGGCATTTTCATAATCATGACTGTGATGGATTACAGATACCCGGACATCCCTTGTTGCTTTCTGAGACAGAAGATGTAGGTTCTTTACTGTTCCTTTTGACCTGAACTGGCCCTTTGACTTGATGCTGGCCATTAGAATGTGGTGGAATTCCAGCTGTGTCCCTTCAGGGCCACTTAGCCATGGAGGTTCCATCTTTCTCGAACATATTATCTGGGCAATGCAGATGTCATGTGAGATTGTGGAATTCCTTTGTTCTCATTTTCTGAAAGAAAAATTCAGTCAGAAGACCTGATAGAGATTGAAAGCTGCAAGGGGTTTTTTATTTAACAAATTAAAAGTAAAGTAAGGTCCAAAGACAGATGGGCAGCTGCCCCTGAGGGTGGGGAGCCACCTGTGGGATTTTACGTTGTGTCTTTTTCTGGCTTTTTTGGTTTCCTGTCTCCCATCTTGCCATTTTGCATCATCCTTTGGATCCTTCTTGCTTCCTCGCCTGCAGCCTCCTTGCCCAAATTCATGGACATCACTTTTCTCACGAGGGTCTAAGCAACACTCATGGTGGGGCTAAAACTACAATGTAAATTATGTAATGATGATATAATGGCCTCAGAGTCAGTTTTTCCTGAAGTACATACGCTATAAAATCGGGGAAGTCCCAGTAACCCATATTTTTGCTCATTAGTTTGTACTGAGTGGCAAAAGGGGTTTGTCTAAGGGAAACAGGGTGGCCTCCGGGCAGGGACGGGGTGCAGATTGGGTGCTCATCTACCCTCCTTTCTCCCCTCTGCTCATGTCTGTCTAACTGCCTTCTCTAGCATTCCCCCCTCAAGGACACTAGCCTGAAATCTTTCAGGATAAGAGCAATGAGTCACTTCTGGAACTGCCTCCTCTGAGAAGGGGTGGTGTCTACAGAGTCGGAGCCCTTGCTGTCTGTCAGGAGAGGGAGGTGGAAGCAGTGCGGTCACTGGGGGGCAGCCACTGCAGGAGATCCTACTGGCTGTATTCAGGAGGATTCATGTGTAGCTGTGTTGGTAGAAATTAGTTGATATCCTTGATGTTTGACCATTTGAATTTGTATTGCTTCTAACCGATTAGAAACAAATCTGGGTAGGAGGTTTAAGAGACAGGATGCAAAGAGAAGAAGGAAAACAGAGACCAGAGGTCCCATGAAGGGAGGAGGCACGCGAGCCAGGACCAGGACGCTCCCCAGGAGAGCTCTGCCTGGGCGGCTGTTCCTGGAGTCCGGAAGCCTTTCATAAGAGCCTTTGGCTGTCCTGTGGACTCGGCCTGTTTGTTTTTCCCAAGAGCAGCGTTATCTGTAAGCAAGGGGTGGCAGCCTCCCTGAGCCAGTCAGGGCGTCTAGGCCCCTTCAGTTTTGGCAAACAACCACTGCCAAGCTTCAGGTTGGCATTCTGTCAGCTTGGCCGGACGTCCTCTCTGGGCTTCTTGCAAGCCTGTTCATGAGGTCCTAAATGGGGAGATGACAGCGACCCTCTCACTTAGGGATCAGAACAGGAAAAGGCCTTTCTCATGCTAAAACTGAAACTTCTAGGAGCCCCTGCCCTCGGACCCCCTCAGGCAGGCAGGCCCCCCCATCTCTGTGTGCCGGGGAAACCGAGAGGGGCTCTGAGAAGGCTCACCCAGACACGGGGTGCCGCCAAGGGTCCAGGTGGTTATCCACCAAGGAAATAGATTCAGTAACCAAGATGGCCTGGCTGTCTGGGACAGTGGCAGCCACTGTGTCGTTAGCAGAAGAAGCCTCTAAAAAACAATGGACCGACCCTAGACATCTCTACTTCCCATCAGGCAGCTGCCCTGCTGGGGCTGAAAGGACGCCCGGCTCTCCAGCTGTGCACTGCTGTGGGGTCGAGTCCTCAAGTCCTGCTGTTAGAGAACCCCGGCATGACAGTCAGAGGGGCTCCATGCGGAACCCAGCCACTCTGCTGCCTGTCTCAAACACTCAGTCTTACTGTGAATTATATGAATTATATGTGATTTATGCATATGAATTAAATACCAATGTGAGTAAAATATGAACATGAAATTTTGATACAAATGAAATAGAAATACATTTAATATAGTATATATGTTCATTTGTTGATGAATATATTGTATGGATTGTATTTGTATGCAGTACTTGTGTATATTTTTATGATGAACACTTGCATTCATTATATAGTTTTTAATGCTTTCAAACAGCAGAAAGTATAAAAAGATTTACAGTAAAAGCTGTTTTTATCTCCTTATCCTCATATGCTTAGTCACTTGTCTGTATACTTCCACTATTTGTCCAGTGTTTCACTAAATTTTTAGATACACAAAAAATTAGGTGATTGATTTTAATTTTCATCTTTTTCTAAATGGAACGGTTGTGTTACATGCATTGTTTTGCTTGTTTTCTTACATATATAAATGGGATAATGGAAGTATTTCTATGTCAATACACAAAGAGTTTAACACAATTTTTAGAGATGCAAGATATTCTGTTCAATGGAATTTCTCCTGAATAGAACAATTTTCTAAAGAAGGACATTTCAATACATTATCTTCTTCTGCTACTAGGAGCAGTACTCAGATTAATGCCATTAAAATGGTATTGGTTCACACACTCACATACCTATTGAATAAATCCCCAAAAATGAATTACCTTTTGAATACATTTGGATTTGAGCTTTGCTATTTGACTTCTGGTAGCTGTTATAAAATTGTGCTTTGTAGGATTATGGTGATTTGTATTCTTACAAACATTGTCAGTGTCAATTCCCACAGTACTCTGATAATAAAGTATACTTTCAAAGTGTTGGATATTCCTTCAATATGATAGGTGAGAATTGGTAACTCAGTGATGTTTGATCATCTATATTATTATGAAAAATTTTGACATTACCATATATTTAGAAATTCTTCCTCTTTTATTTTATTTGAGTAATCTTCTCATATTGTTTTTACAT